GAAAATAAACCTTCCTCACCTGCTTTTCAATCATCTGAGAACAAGCGTGAAGGAAACAAGAGAAGATGAAAGAACCAAGAGGGATTGGATACCTTTGGGCAGGCTAATTTCAGATATTCTGACTGAGAATAAGTTAATAGAGTATCTGACTGAAGCTCAGTAGATAAGCACGCTGGAGGCATGTGTTGGAAAACATCTCAATTCCAAGAACCTGAAAAAGATGAAGATCATTGATAGAATTAAGAAGGATCCAACCATTGCTACAAAAGAAGTCACCACATCAAGGAGAACCCCTCTAAATGATTTTCCTCTATTCTCTAAAATTGATGCTTCACCAGAAATTGTTGTCAGATATTTGGAAGCATGCAAGAAGGATGGAACTGCTCCAGAGTTAAACATTCATGATCTGCATCAACAAGCTCCAGATGTTGTCCTTAAGAAGTCCAAAAAAAGAAAAGCTGCAGGAGAAGGATCTTCTCAGAAGACACCAAAAGCTGCTAAAAAGAAATGTAACTCTTCTTTTATTTATGTTGTAGAATCAGTGTTTTTTCCAACATCTGAAACACCTTCCTCTCCAAAACCAATAGAAGATCCCTCACCACAAACATTTGAAGATTTTGATATAGAATTCAACCCCTCGGTAACTCTAGAAAACATACTAAACGACCCACACTCTCCTAACCCACATCTTGAACAAAATCAGCCAGAACTTGCTAGAGTTCTTTCTGATATTGATCAATTTGATCCAGATTTTCAAGCTCCTCACACAAAAAATCCAAACTTCCAAACCACTCACCCTGAAAATCCAAACGCTACTGCTTCCCAACCAGAAAATCCATACATTGACTCTGATACCACCACACAAATTCCTGGAATAACAGAACCTCTCATGGTTCGACAACCTCTCTCCATCCAAGACATTCCAGAAATTCCATCACCTTACCATTCCACTCCACCAAACACACCCCCATCACCAATTATCATTTCTGATTCTCACACTCCCTCTCCTATTAATCCTCCAGAATATCACCTAAGAACAGTAATAGACATAGAAGCATTGGATCACCTTGCCTCAACCTCTCACAAAATTGTCATTCCAAAACCAAAATCAATTATCACCAAGGCAGATGTTGGTAGAAGTTTACTGATTTTTGAAACAGAAATAATTGAATGGGTTAACTCTTTGAAGCAAGCAAGCTTAGAAAATCCAAATCCTGCTGCTTCTGATTCTCACTAGAATCGGTTCAAAAGATGGTTCAAATCAGAATCCCAGAAACTCAAGGAATTAAGCTATGAACTGGCCCAACAGAACTTTTATGATCAGCTGAATGTTTTCAAGGATCAAGTTCTGAGTCATTGGGAAAGGAAATCTATTCTTCTGCTGGACAATGCTCCCTAGAAAGAGCACCAACCTTCAGAAGTTGTTGAACCATGCTATGATAATCTCCCTCTGGCTATTATTCAAGACAAAGGCAAAGCAACTGAAGAAGCCACTGAATCATAAACTGCTACAGAGTGTTCTGAGAAACTTGCATCTTCTGTGGATACACCATCTTCATCTTTGGTTATGCAAACTCTGGAAAAGTTAAAGAAAGAGAATGCAGTGATCAAAGAAAGATTGGACAAGCAAGAAGACATGAGCAAAGAAATCAAAGAAATGCTGGGAAAACAAGAGGAATCGAGCACTCAGATTAAGAGCTTGCTAGAAGCGTTGTTCACACGACTTCCCCCTCCTCAATCTTAGTTTATTTTTAAAACTTGTTTTCTGCATTCATTTTTCTTGTTTCATTTGGCTCTGGAAGTGTTATTGCAATCAATTTTAATATAACTCATCTTTTTTACTCTAAATATTAGTGTTTATATTTCTTTTTTATTCTTGACAAAAGGGGGGAGATTGTAAGATATTTCCAATAACAGTATATCGAGACAAAGTCTCAAACATTTTGAATATCATAACTTCTCATTTTTTCTGAAAGCAAAACAGGAACAAAACTCTGATGAAGACAGAAGGAGATGCATCAAAAGCTCTGATCAGAATGAACTTCAGGGAAGTAATTCATCTCTATCTGAGTACTCAACTCAGGGGGAGACTCTCTAATGCTTTATGTTCTGTCTTTTTTAATTGAAATATCCTAGTTTTTATCATCATCAAAAAGGGGGAGATTGTTAGAACATAGTTTGATTCTACAATCCTCGTAAGAGTTTTGATGATAACAAACATAAAGAACAATTATGCACTCTAAAATTATATTCTATTTTATAGAGAAGTTCTGACGGAAGTAGATCATAAGTTAAGCTACAAGGATGTTCCTGCTGTAAACGTAGACTATTCTCAGAAAGTTCTGATGAAAGAAGATCAGAAGTTGCGCTAAGAGAAAGATGTTTTAACTCTGATTGCATAACTCTGTGAAAGTAAGTCTAACGCTGCAAACATGATCTTATGACTCTGACCTTCCAAAGTTCTGAAGCAAGCAACAAATGGATACCTCAATGTTCTGAAGCGTTACAATTCACCAAAGCTATATCAATTGCAATGGCTACAAACAGACAAGGATCTTTCATTTGAGGAAAGCGCATTAACTGTCATTTATCAAGTTTCCAAATGCTCAACTATGTTGCGCCTATTTAAACAAGGGATGAGGATAATCATTTACGATTTACACAACGATTTATAACACATCAAAGTTGTTATCCTTTCTACTCTTCATTCATACTATTCTTTGAACTGTGTAATACATCACAATACTGTGATACTGTTTTTGTAAGAAAAACATATTGTACACTGTTTTATTCATATTTTATTTAGTGCAATTCCTTGAGAAAACCCGGGTTATGGTTATACTCAAGAAGACTTTGGCAGTAGTCAAAGTAGATTTGTAATCAAGATTGATTAGTGAATTAAGACTTCGTTGGAGAGAGGCGAAATTACCTTGGCGGGTGGACTGAAGTAGTTTGAGTTCAAACGAACCAGGATAAAAATCATCGTGTTATTTCCATTGATTTTTAAGATTCCAGTTCAACTCCTCCCCCCCCCCCCCCCCCCTTCTTGTGTTTTTCAATTCTTCATGGTGTTAGGGTTCTTTCGTCTTGTTTCTGTTTTCAGTAGAAAAATAGATACTAAGAGTTAATATATATAAATTTATCATCACGGTCTTTACTTTGAACTGTAATGATATAATTTTTGTATAATGAAATTTCATAAAGAAGCACTAGTGTGTAACAATGATTTTACAAAACAACCGTAGTGATATCCCTATTATCTTTAATTTTAATATAAATAAAAATGAAAAACACGCATTAACGTAAAAAGAATAAACTATCTGAGAGCGACGAGCTTTGAACCCATGAAACCTTGGTAGTATCACCACGGTGTTCTCATCAACCGTTATTATACCCTTTAAAAAAATTTAATTAAAAAATAAAAACAAAATGTTAGCGCATAAATTTAGATGTTCCACCACGGTGTTTTGAAGAACCGTGGTGACTTTGGCGTTGTTGTATGCGCATTTTATAGTAGTGGCTTCGTGTCTAGTGATTGCAAGAGGTGCCTCTGATCGGACAGACGATCCATCTACATGAAACTGCATGGCATTTATTGTGTGTGAGGGAAACTGAAAAGTTCATTGGGTCGTCTCTGGTTGCGCATGGTTTGGTTGTGGAGCAGAAGGAATAGATAAATGACAGTTTCTGCAGCGTCCTTGACTGTAGCGACCTATCATTGAGCAATGGAACAAGTGACTTTTAAGGGTGTCATTGCTAGATTATTCATGTGAGGAGAGTTTAGATGCAACTTCGGCGAGATTGACTTGGAGATGTGGATTTAAGCTTTGACTGAATGAGATATGGATCGCGATAGTCATTGATATTCAATTTCACTTTCCACAAACGACGCTAATGTTCTATACGAGAACGAAAAGATGATCAAATATGTAGAATTGATTGTGATGTCGGGGTAGAGCTTTGATCCCGATGTAGTGGATAAGGCCAACCTATAAGGTTAACACTCAAATACTTAACATAGTGCAGAAAATGAATAGTGATTTTTTCAAACGGAAGTGAATGTACTTAAAATGGCGCTCTAACTCTGATTTTATAGGGGAGTTTGTTGATAAACAAAATATAAAGGTGAGTGTGAAATACATATGGTCGCATGATAGATTTGACTAGTGTAAAATAAATTTCCAGATGTTGGTATGCTTTGCGTTCCTTTGGACCTAGCTTCTATTGAGCCTTTGGCGACCGGCCATGAACAAAATTAATACTAAAAACTTGGAAAGGTCAAAGTTTACAATTTTTTTTTAGAATTTCTTAAACCATCCTTACACCTTGTTAACGCACTCATGAAAAATATCTAAAATACCTCTTGATTTCAAAAATATACATCTGAAACAACATTTTTTTTCATAAAATTTACAATTCGAATATTCATCTCCGAAATTACTTCATTTGGAATAGCCATCTCCAAAATCACCCATAATGAAAGTGCGTTAAGAAATTACCAAAATTTTTAGATTAAAAGTTAAGAGACAATAAAAGTTCGTTTTAGTTGCACAAAATAAAAATTGATTTTACACAACTACTAACCATTTGAAGTACATGAGGCATAGTAATGTTAGTTGACTGATATGAAAATTATTTGACATTAGTATGAAGAAGGTGCATGATATGATAAAGTTTCAAAGTGTTATTTTAAGAATTTAGGATAAAAAGATAATTTTAAAAGTTTGGGATATAATGTGGAATTGGGATTAGTACATTTCTAAAGTTGTTGGTTTGGAATATAAGAGGACTAGTGGACTACAAGAGTTATGTTGAATGAGATTCAGTGATAGTTTAATTGGCAACAAACTCAAAAACAAAAAGGTTCTCAGAGATACTTCATCTTATAGCACAATCCCTGTTGATCAACATATTCTTCCGCACGTATATATGATAAAGGAAAATCAAGATTACAACAGCAAAATCTTCTAACAAAGCATACATTTGCGCCTGCCAATTCATCACCGCCTTCTTCTATTACTGTAACCTTCATCTTCACTTTCTTTGTCCTTTAAGAAGCCAAGAAAAGCAAGAAACCCAAAAAAGAAAAATCCACCAGACCAGTTGCCTCCACCTCCACCTCCTCCCCCGCCATCATCATCATCGCGAGGTGGAAATCCAGATCCACCATCATCAATTTGTGGCGACTTCTCCTTACCTAAAAGTGGAATTTAACCCTGATGAGCCCATTAGAGGGAGACACATATATATATACATGGTTTAACATATAGTATCTTTTTTTTTAATAATAAAAATCAAAGAATATCCCCGCAGTCAACAATTACCAGGAAGATGAGTAATTGTCGGAGCCTCTCGAGTAACAGTCTGAGTTTGCTCTGCACCACATCTTGCATTCTGCATACGCCAGAGAATTTTAGTAAAGGGAGATTCTATAAATGTATTGCGTTCTTTGCATGAAGAACGTATTCGAAGTTCAGAAACTGATAGACTATTAGAATTGGAAAAAATTGCAATCTAGAGTTAAGGAGGAGAGTAGACTACCAAATAGGATAAAATTAAGATAAGAGTAAAGAAGATTTACCAAAGCTGCAGCACATATTATAGTTGATGCCTGAATAGAACGGGTTCTTCTATCAAATGGAAACTGTGTACGACTCAATGATCTTGAGTTATTAACAGTCTGTAATCCTCTTGAAAATTTAGATGTAGGAACAACATTCTCTTCAATGCAGTTTCCGCCTCTTCTCACTACACAAAAATATGATCATTAAATTAACAGTCAAGATTGCTCAATCCGTTATTCTGGTCGTATCATTATTAACTGAGCACTTTATTGCAATGCTTGCACAGTCACATGCCTATAAAGTTTAAAAGGGATAGCTATGGGTATGCCAAACTCTTCCTGTATCTAAAGGTAATATAATGTCTGATTTGAAATACAAAAAAAAATTTTAAAAAAAACAGAAATTCTTATTTACCTGGTGGTAATTTGGGCAAAGATGCAACTGCACTAGTGGCCAACATTGGTGTATGACACAGAACTGGGATTAAAAAAAGAAGTTGTTGTTAAAACAAAATTATTATTACAACCCTAATATCCATTTCTAGGAACTAGGAAAAATTCAAACCTTCAACATACATAGCATCCAACATAAAAGTTGAGTGAATAAGCGAAATAAAGAGGGAATAATTGAAGAACGTAGCAACATAAAAAAAAAGAATCTTTAAAGAAAGGAATAAAAACAAAGTGGCGTACCAGACGGAGTCGTCGATGAATTCGGATATGGTGAATTGTATGAACCGAAAAGTATGAAAAGAGAGCGAAAATGGGTTCAATTATGAATTAATTTGAGGCTCCCAGCGAGAAAGTTGAAACCCTAACAATGATTTGGTAGATAGAATAGAAGAAGCAGTTTGGTCGCAAAGTCTCGGAGACCTTGCAAATTGCCACCATATCTCTATTTAACCTTTTTCAATTTATTTTTTATTTTCATTGTATACTCGTTTTTCAATTTACTTGTTTTTTTGCTTTTCACCATATTTATTTTATAAATTTAATTTTGAATTCAAATTCCACTCATTTGATTTATGAATTAAGTCTAATGAATTAATTATTGAATCAAATCTCAAATTATTTTTGAGTTGGTTCGATTCATTGTCAACTCTAAAATTAAAATTACAGTGTTTAAAAAAACTCTTAATTGAAATGAAATTAAAAATAATTGAATTATTATATTTAATTAATCAACCTAATCATATTATTCTAACAATTTTAAAATTAAATTATATGATAAATAAATTAAATTGAAACCGAACCAAAATCGAAAACAAAGAATACTAAAAAGAAATACTAAAAACAAGTCTTCATTGTTTATTAAAGGTCATACAAGTTAGCTTTAACCAAGTTCCACGTGTTTTTTTTCAAAATTTTCTAAGTGTTTATGAAGCTTAAACATACGAGAGCTATTGCTTAAGTAGAATAGAGTGACAATGGATCAAATCGACTCGTGTTGTAGCTATTGCACTTTTGGTCCATATAATTCTTTTCAATAATTTTTATATTTAAATTACTTTAATATTATATTAAAATGAAATTTAAAAAATTAATATAAAATCCGACACGATATTAGTGTGGCAGTGCCACATTATTAATAAAGGTGTCACACTAATAATATTGAAAGAGATCATGAAAATCTTAAGTTTAAAAATAATTTTAAAATAGAAAAATTAAAATTTAAAAATTTAAAAATAAGAAGATGAAAAATGTATTTAAACTTAAATATTATTATTTCATTGAATTGAATTGAATGAAAATATTTATATGTAATTAAATTTAAGGATATCAAAATGTTTGCCTTTAAATTTTACCACCTCAATTATGTGATTGAATTTTGATTTATAAACGTCATTATAAGACAATTAAATTAAAAAGATAAGTTTAACTAAAATAAGTTGAAGTAAATTAATCTTGTGTTCATAAAAGATTGATTTAAACGCATTTTTTAGTCCTTCTATTTTAGTTATTTTTGAACTTTATTGCCTCTTTAAAAATATTAATTTTTTGAACCCTTTATTTAATACTTTTATTTTTTAAGTCTTCTTTAAAATTTGCAAATGTGATACTGACGTAACATTGATGGATAGAATTAAAAATAAAAAATTAATATTAATTAATATGAGGTAATAATGATTAGAATAAAAATAAAATAAAATGATTAATTACTTTTTATAATATTATTTAATAAATAATAAATAATTATATTTTTAAAATTTTTAAAATATAAAATAAATTATTGGCATAATTACTCTAGATGTTCTTTAAGTTATTTGGATGAAATATATTTTTGATCTTTCTATTTTTAAATTTTATAAGTTTTTTAAATTTTAGTCTTCTTTATTTTAAAATCTAACTTTTTGGTCTCTAAATTTTATTTTACTCGAGATTTTATTAATTCCCTTCAAATTTATATAGTTGACAATAATAATTGAGATTAAAAAGATATTTTTAATTATGTGACATTATGATTGTGTTGTCATATCCTAAATCTGTCCACTTATTTTATTTAATTATTTTTCTATTAATTTTTGTGTTACTATATATTTATTTAAAATTATTTTCTAGTATTAACTTATATATATATATATATATATATATATATATATATATATATATATATATATATATATATATATATATATATATATATATATATATATTACTTTGTTTGTTTATTTTAAAAGTTAGTGGTGTTTTTTCTCTAAATGAGGGTTCACCATCTATTCTTTTAAAAGCTCATTCAAAATTATCCAAGTCTATAAGAGGGGGGTTTATTTTGTATCTTATCAGGTTAGGCTTATTATTGATTATTCAGAATGACCCATTGATTTTCTTAGAGGTCCCATTGCAAATTTGTTAAGCTTTTATTTTTATTTTAAGTTGGCCGAAGTCAACAAGAGTTTTTTAGTAATTTTTGTTTTGTTTTAATTTTTAATTTTATAAAATATATTTGTTTGTTTTGGTTGATTGATGTCAATGTCCTATAAATTATTATTATTATTATTATTATTATTATTATTATTATTATTATTATTATTATTATTATTATTATTATTATTATTATTATTATTATGTTATTATTATTATTATGATAATTGTTTTAATTTTATTATTTATTTTAATATTCTAAGTTTTGTTTGTTGATCAAGTCAATAAGGGTATATGATCTAACTTGATCAGACTTGGACCGTCACGGCTGGCTCCGAGCTGAAAGCTTTGAACGAGGTGGGGGGTATCTGCAAGACACTCTGATGCTGAAGTAAGTAAGAGCACGAGCAGACAATAGTAAGAGTATGGGTAGAATGATGAATTCCTGACCCTCTGGAAACAGAGGGTATTTATAGCCCCCAGCGCTGGGCCAAGGTTCCTTCGTTGGGCCGGGCAGGTTTGGCCCAATGGAGGAACTGCCAGGTTCTACGTGCGTAGTGGGGACCCGCACGTGGTCCCCTCCCTGGATGTTCTGCGTGAAGTGCGGGCGGACAGAGACGCGGTCTTTTCGGGGTCTCGTTGGGAGTGCGGTGGACTGAGTCTGCCCTAGTCGGGGTGTTCGAGGTGATGTCGAGCTGGAGAGGTGGAGGTCGAGCAAGTAACCTCAGGGAGCACGTCGGGAACGACTGTGACCCTTTGGTCAGCGTGGCCCTCAGTAGGTCCGTTTGGATTGGGCCTTATCAATGCTATTGGGCCTGTCGGGCCCAGTCCAGAACAGGAGCCCCCCAAGTCGTGGTTCCTTGGGTTAGGAGCCATGGCTTGATCTCAGGTCGTTCCCGTTTTGGGGTCTCGCGCCCGGGTCAGAGATGCAGGTCCTCGAGGGCTTCTCCGTGTCGTGCTCGGAGACAAATCTTTCGAGGTGGATGCTCGGGGAATCCTCACCGGCGCGCGTCTGTCGAGCACACGGGGTATCTTTCAGGAACTGCGCCGCCACCCTATGATGATAGGGTCATCATTGCCTTGGGAGCCGTGCGTCGAGGAGAGAAACTCCGTGGTTGCCCGAGGTGACGTTTGGTATTCCACGTCATCACTATAAATAGGATCCTTGGGCCCCATAACGCGTTACTACTCTTTGCGCTCCTACTGCTGCTGTTCTTCCAGATTTTCATAGCATAGCTGCGATTCCCGTCACATATTCCTTCCCTCCGTTGCAGAACTCACTCCTTGATTACAAGTAAGTGATTTATCTTCTTCGTTTTCCTGTTGTGATGCATGATTTTCACCGTTGTAGACGTTTTAGGGACTGGGCGCGTGGGACTAGCCCGGTATATTCATGTTTAGCTCGACAAATTCATGCTTAGGACCGGCAAACATATGCTCGTGGCCGGTAGATACATAGTTTAGGTTACAATCTGAAGTGCTGCCCGGGGTCTTCATGATCCAGGGCGCCTGATTCATGATCGTGCCCGGTATGTTCATAGCTCTGGCCGTAGGTTTTATGATGTTGCTCGCCATGTTCATACCTTGGGTCGGCATACTCGTGAATGACCGCGTTGTCGGTTTGCTTAGGCGGTTTGGAGAAGGTCTCATCGAGTTATCCGGACGTCGGGGAGGCGACTGCTATGTTGTTGCAAACTAACTCTTGTGGTCGTGCATGGAGCAACGTGGTTTGTCGTACACTACATCTGGTCCGTTACGTCGAGCGTATGGTTTCGTGCCCAATTGACTGGTTTCCCGTGCTCTGCAGGTAACCATGGCGGACGAGCCGTGCTCCTCTGGACGCCCCGAACGGGAGGAACAAAGTGCCGACGAGGCGGTGAGTTTGATCGACACTGTCGACGACCCTCTGTTGGATTGGGTGGGCGACGAGCCCAGAGGAATCACGTCGATCTATAGCCGGCATAACCGAAAACCATATGCTGTCCTCGAGGCGGGTCACGGTCAGCCTGATTTTCAAAAGAATTTCGTTGTTATGCGGCCGACCTCCAATGCCCGGATCTGCTCGGTGTACCCCAAGTATAGCTTCCCCATGTACGAAATTGCGTTCAAAGATCTTGGGCTGCAGCTGCCCTTCAGTGACTTTCAGACCGGGGTCTTCGCCCATCTGGGGCTGGCCCTGTCGCAGCTACACTCGAACTCGCTCGCCTTTATCCGGGCGTTTAAGCTGACATGTCATTTTCTGAGGATTGGGGCGACTATACCTCTCTTCTTCAGAATTTTCCATCTGCAGCGCCAGTCACGAGGAGGGAAGCACAGCTGGGTCTCCTTAAAACAGTCGAGGAGACTATTCAAGATGTACATGGACTCCGTAAGGGGTTTTAAAGACAAGTGGTATGTCGTGAGGCCGGTTACCACGTCTGCTTTAGAATCCCTGTACGAGGAGGAGGCGCCCATAAGCGACGATGACGGAGAGGTGATTTTAGACAACGACGGGTATCCCGTGATGGCCCGCACGGCCAAGTTCCCCGTGCATTGGATGTTCAGGCATTATGAGCACGGGGCTGGATACTATCATACCGCCACGGGCGACATGTGTTCCGAGGATGAGAAGGCGTATGACACTCTTTGTCGGTTCGTTGACAGCTTCCACCCCGCCAGGTGGGCCATGAGGGAGGGGGAAGATGTCTTGGACGAGGAGGGTTATCCGACATTCGAGTCCAGACCGATCGATACTAAGGCGCTCGTGGAGTGCCAGTCGTTCAGGCAGGCTGCTCGTCTGCTAGGTCGTTTATTGGTTGAATTTTTTTTTTGCCTGTCATTTGTTTGCGTATTTTCTCGACACTAACCCGTCTTTTATTTTGTGCAGGTTCGATGGCCGGACGACGGGAAAGACTCTTGAAGCTGTCTTGCGACCAGAAGCGGGGTAGGAGGGTTGTGAAGGCTCCCCAAGCAACGAGGATGGGCCCGCCGCATAGCCCGGGCGCTCCTCATGTGGTGAGGGTGGATTCGTCGCCCAGATCGGGGGCCGCGTCGGACGAAATCCCAGAGGTTCAAGAGGTCGAGCCACATGCCGACCTGATACAGAGGAAGCGGAACCGGGTGAAAAGCGGGCCGGCGGTTGGCGAGGACGCCAGTGCCGTAAGGTCCTTCGGGTTGCCCCCTTGCTTCAAAGAGGAGGGTTTCTTCGAGAGATTCCCTCTGTCTGTGGTTGCCGATGAGGCTGAGACTATTAAGAGGATGAGTAAGGAGGATCGGAGGAGGCACATGGCCGCCAACATGGTTGGGCTGGTGAAAATGGCCGAGATGGCCATGGTGCTGTCCGAGGAAGGGGAGGATCCTGTCCATATTGAAGAACTGGAGCAGGAGAAAGCGGCTCTCACCTCGAGCTCGCGGAAGTTAAGGACTGCCCTGGAACGCTCCGAGGAGATGTTCCGTGAGCAGGCATCGCTGCTGGCCGCTGAGAGAGAGATGATGATTCTGGAGAAAGAAAATTTGGGGAAGCTAGCCGAGGAGGGAGAGCTTCTCCGCACGGACAGGGATCGTCTGGAGACTGACATCGGGTGCCTGACCCAACAGATCGAGGACCTGAAAGTCGCCATGCTTCCTGCCGAGGACGAGCCGGAGGATATAGCTGCTTTGAAGAGTCGATCGGAGCTGGTCGCCCATATCCGGCTACTCGAAGCAGATTGCGTTGGTGCTATGGAGGAGGGGTTCGACTCCGCAGTCGGCCAACTTTCCTTGCTAAATCCTAGTTTGGTCACTGAGGGGACGGGCTACACTCATCAGATCGTGGATGGCGCGATCGTGCCCCCGCCCGACTCTCCTGTTGTCAACAATGATGGTTCCGGGGAAGCTTGATCGTAGGATAGCGGGCCTGCGTGCCTTTGATATTTGTATTTTTTGGGCCTGCGTGCCCGTTGGTTGTACTTCACGAACATCGCCGTCCTTCTTGGTCGGTTTATACTTATTTGCTTTGTTGCCTTCGGGCGTTTTTTTGAATGAATGTCGTTTCATATTTGATTGTTTGCCCGTGCTTGTTTTTTATATTTTTGCATAAAAATTAGCCTAAGTTATGGGCCCGAGGAGTGCCCGTAAGTGGCTGTGACTTAGCTGGCGAGTTTGTCCGCCTTTCATTTGTATACGTGCCCGGCCTTCTTTCGCTGGCCAGAGTCACCTAAGTGTTGCACTCGAGGGGAGAGACTTCCCTTTGACCCTTTTAGATGGCCCGTCATTCTTGACGACTTGTCGGGCATATGGAGCGAAGTTGCTCAGTCGGGCGCGAAGCCCGATAGGGACTATTTGCTCTTGGTGTGAACTGCCCATCGCGAGCTGGGTGTTCTGCCTTACAGGTACTATGACGGTGGGGCTCGGTGTAGTTGTCCACGTCGGGCACTATCGTTTGTTGAGCGATGTTGTGCGATTTAGCCATATGTCGGGCTTGTAACTCAGCCTCTATACGGAGTCGGACGTTTTTCCTCGTCGACCGGGCGCGGGTGCCGATGGTCGAGGGTCCTAGGTGTTGGTATTTTTTTAGCTATAGTACTGCTTTAGCTTAGCAGCGTTCCAGGGTCGTGGTAATGGCTCTCCCTCTAATTGCTCGAGATAGTACGCCCCGGTACCAGTGGTGCCGTGGACGCGATAAGGTCCTTCCCAGTTCGCGGCCAGCTTCCCTTCGCGGGAATCCTTCTGGTTCCTACGTAATACCAGGCTACCGATTTCGAACTCGCGCTTGATGACCTTGTCGTTGTGGCGTAGAGCCACTCGTTGTTTTAGGGTGGCTTCGCGCAGGGCTGCACCAGATCAGATTTCCTCGACTAGGTCGAGTTCGTCCCTTAGTGCCTCGTCGTTCATTTCTTTGTCGAGGGGGTTCTCTGTTCGTCTGGAAGGTTCCATGATTTCAACTGGGATAACGGCCTCGGTGCCATATGTCAGTTGAAATGGGGTCTCGCCCGTCGTTGAGTGGGGCGTGGTTCGATATGCCCACAAGACGCTGTGGAGCTCCTCGACCCATCCCCTCTTGGCTTCACCGAGTCGACGTTTGAGTCCCCGGAGGATAACCCTGTTTGCGGCCTTGGCCTGCCCGTTGGTTTGAGGGTGCTCGACAGAAGTGAAGTGTTGTTTTGTCCCGAGTTTGGTGACGAAGTCTTGGAATCCGTGGTCGGTGAATTGGGTACCGTTGTCGGTCACTAGCGCCCTCGGAATTCCAAATCTGGCGAGGATGTTTCTTTTGTAGAAACGGAGGATGTTATGTGAGGTGATCTTTGCGAGAGCCTCGGCCTCGATCCATTTCGTGAAGTAATCCACGGCAACGATGAGGAATTTGTTCTGGTAGGTTCCTTGCACGAAGGGCCCGAGGATGTCCATACCCCACCAGGTGAATGGCCACGGGGACGACAGTATGCTCAGCTCGTGCGGAGGAGCGAGGTGCATGTCCCCGTGTTTCTGGCACTTGTCACATTTCTTGACGTGTTCCTTGGCGTCCTGCTGCATCGTCGGCCAGTAGTATCCCGCTCGAAGGGCTTTCCTTGCTAAGGATTTACCACCCATGTGTTGGGCGTTGATCCCTTCGTGTATCTCACGCAGTACTTCAGGGACTACGGACTCGTCGATGCATTTTAGGAGGGGGATGGAGAATCCTCTGCGGTACAGTTTCTGCTCGAGAACCACGTAGGAACACGCTCGTCGCTTTGTGATGGTAGCTTCGGCCTGGTTCGACGGGAGTTCGCCTTTTGTCAGGAAATTGTAAACCGGGGTCATCCAGGACGTCGCATCCCCGATGGCATGGATCTCGACTGTAGTCGAGGATCGCTCGATACTTGGACGCGCTAGAGATTCCTGGATGACGGATTTGTTCCCGCCCTTCTTTCGTGTGCTCGCGAGTTTGGACAATATGTCCGCCCTCGTGTTTTGCTCGCGGGGAACATGTGAAATTTCTGCTCGTACGAACTTTGTCATGTATTTTTTGACTAAGTTCAAATACTCGATGAGGTTGTCGTTTTTGGCCTGGTAGCTCCCCTGTACTTGAGAGGCGACGAGCTGGGAGTCGGTGTAGATCTGTACCTCGCGGGCTCCCAAGTCCTCGGCCAGTCTCAGTCCTGCGAGCAGGGCTTCGTATTCTACCTGGTTGTTTGACGTCGGGAAGGAGAGAGCTAAGGAGTGCTCGATTACTACGCCTTCTTCGTTTTCCAGGAGGATTCCTGCGCCACTTCCGGACGAGTTGGATGCTCCGTCGACGAAGATGGTCCACTTGTGTTCTTTCCCCGGGGAAGGGTCGTGAGTGGTCATTTCCGCGACAAAGTCGGCCAAGGCCTGTGCTTTCAGGGCTTTCCTGCTTTCGTACTGAATGTCGAATTCGGAGAGTTCCAAGGACCATTTTAGCATTCTGCCCGCCATATCGGGTCGACCCAGGAGTTGTCTCACTGGTTGGTCGGTTCGCACGATGATCGTGTGGGCCAGAAAGTAGTGTCTGAGCCTCCTCGCCGCGTTGACGAGGGCCAGAGCCACCTTTTCTATCTGCTGGTATCTGCTTTCGGGCCCCTGTAAGGCCTTGCTCGTGAAGTAGACGGGTTTCTGCCCGTCGGGGGTCTCGCGGACAAGAGCTGTGCTGATGGCTTCGTTCGAAACGGCCAAGTACAAGTACAGCGGTTCCCCATCGTCTGGTCGAGATAGCACGGGCGGCTGAGACAGACTTTGCTTTAAGTGGCGTAGTGCCTGCTCGCATTCCTTATTCCATTCGAAGGCTGCTTCCTTTCGAAGGAGTTTGAAGAAGGGGAGGGCGTGTTGAGCGGATCTCGCGACGAAGCGGGACATCGATGTGAGCATGCCGTTCATGATTTGTATTGACTTCTTCGACGTCGGTGTTGGGAAGTCGGAGAACGCCCGACATTTGTCGGGGTTGGCTTCGATTCCCCGTTCTGTTAGATAGAATCCAAGGAATTTTCCCGCCTTAACCCCGAACGTACATTTCTCGGGGTTGAACCTCATTTTACACTGTCTTGCTTGGGCAAAGACTGTCTTGAGATGAGCTGCGTGGTCGGTGTCTGCCCGGGACTTGACGATCATGTCGTCCATATATACCTCGAGCATGTCGCCGATCTGTTTGTTGAAAACTCTGTTCATTATGCGTTGGTAAGTTGCTCCGGCATTTTTCAGTCCGAAGGGCATTACGTTGTAGTAACAGTTGCCCGAGCTGGTCATGAATGCCGTGCAGTGTTTGTCGCCCAGGGCCATTGGGATTTGGTTATAGCCCGAGTTGTCGACCAGCATATCTATGTTAGGCAAGGGAAAAGCATCTTTCGGGCAAGCCCGGTGGAGATCAGTATAATCAACGCACATTCTCCATTTTCCATTATTCTTTTTCACGAGTACAACATTTGACAGCCAGGTGGAATACCGGGCTTCAGAAATAAAATTTGCCTCTAGGAGGTCTTTTACAGCTTTTTCAGCAGCCTCTGTTTTTTCTGGAGACTGCCTACGCCTACGTTGTACTACGGCCCTAGCGGCTGGATCAATGGCGAGGTGGTGACAGGAGAACTCAGGGTCGAGTTCGGGCATCTCCGCAGTGCTCCAGGCGAACAGATCAACATTCTCGCGCAGACAGGCCTTGATTTGTTTCCTGGCCAAGTCGGGGAGGTCTTTGTCAATCTTCACTCCCTTGGTCGGGTCTGTGCCGAGGGGAACGAGTTCAAAATCCCCGTCCGGTATTGGTCGGAGTGGGATTTGCTCGCTGCTGGATGGCTCGTCCTGATCGAAGCGGGTGTCCAGAGCTATGGAATCGACCTTTGGTGTGGCTTTCTGAACTTCCTCCTCGGGGGATGCTTTCCTGTCGGGCTCCTGTTTTGTCCTTTTGGCGGGTCTGGTCCCTATGTCGACGGTATCCCGTCCCTTAGAAGCGGTGTTGAAGCACTTGTGGGCAGCGGCTAGGTCTCCTTGGATGGTGGCTACCCGTGCCCTCCTGGTGTAGAACTTCATCTTCAGGTGGACGGTCGAGGGCACCGCTGTCAGTTTTGCTAGTGTCGGTCTCCCCAAGATGCAGTTGTACAGAGACGGGCAGTCAATGACGAGGAAACGGACTTTAACTTGTCTCGTAGCCGTTCCTTCGCCGAACGTAACCAGGAGCTCGACATAACCCCAAGGTTTGGAAGTCGAGCCGTTGAAGCCTTGTAGATCCGACCCCACATACGGAGAGAGATGTGAGTCGTCCAGCTGTAGGGTTCGGAATAGTTGGTTGTACATCACGTCGACGGAACTCCCTTCGTCGACCAGGATGCGATGCACGTCAAAATTGGCCATTCTTGCCCTTATCAGTAAGGGGATGACTGCGTTCGGGGCTCCGCCGGGGAGCTCTTCTAGGTAGAAGGTGATGGGCTCTGACCTGCCCTTCACCCTTTCGAACGTTACTGTTTGCGGGGGAGCCGCATCGACCAGCTTGTACAACTTCCTCTTAGCTGAATTGATGGTGAGGTCGTTGAACCCGCCCCCATTAATGACCATGGCGGAGGGAAAGTATTCCCACCTGCTGTGCGTTGTCAGCGGTTCCTGCAGGTGCTCGGGAATGTCGAAGTCCTCGGGCCTGGTCACCGAGAAGGCGGTCTGGATAGGCACCGACTTGTCTGATGGTCGGGCTTCTTCTTCTGGCTCCTTGGCTTCATGGGCGTCACGACGAGGAGCATCGTTTCGCCAGTATTGCGCGAGCCTCCCTCCCTTGATGAGGGTTTCAATGGCGTCCTTGAGGTGGACGCAGTCCTCTGTCATATGGCCATGACTCCTATGGTATTGACAGTATTTATTTTTGTCCGCCCCAGGCTTGGCGGGAGCAGGTCGGGGACGCTTGACGCCGCCGTCCTTGAAGTCTGTAC